GATTCTATTTACACAGATTTTTCGAAGGCATTTGACCGAGTAAACCACAATTTGTTGTTGCATAAACTAAACGCTTTGGGTATTCAAGAAAACATTCTGAAATGGATTGAAAATTAACTAGCCTGCAAAGTACAGTTTCATCGGGTGTACCACAGGGTTCTCATTTAGGGCCATTGCTTTTCAACCTATTTGTAAATAACTTGAAAGATGTTATTCTTTAAAGTGAATTTCTTTTGTTTACTGATGACCTGAAGATGTTTAAAGTTATTCATGATTCAACTGATACAGAATTATTACATTACGATTTATCTAACTTTGTTCGCTGGTGTGATATAAATCCACTGCAATTAAATATAAACAAATGTCAAAAATTAATCACTCTCGACCCAAAAATGTCATTTAAACCCCCCATATTACAAATATTACTTCTGAAGCACTAAAAATGTTAGGTTTCATTCTTAGATCTGCAAATGAATTATCTCTCACTTCAATAAAAATCATATACCTATTGTTCAATTGTTAGATTAATAATCGAATACAATTCCACAATTTGGTGCCCTTCATATTATGTGGATATTGATATGTTTGAAAGTGTTCAAAATAAGTTTTTAAGGTACTCTGCATATAAACTGGGATATCATATTGGTGAATATGACTAAACTTATAATTTTAAATGTGAATCCAAGGAGAACAAGAAATTCGGAAATCTTCAAAGTACCCTTTTGTCGCACCTATGGCCGGAATGAATATTTAGGTAGAATTTTGAGACTTGCAAAAACATACAATGTATATGTAGAATTTTTTAATTCTTCTTTGGAAACATTTAAAAAGACTGAAAAGATTGTAATTCATCAACTTATTTTTACGATTTTTTTTTTATTTTATTTTATATTTTTTTTCCTTAAACCTAGCTCAGATTACTGTTAAATACATATGTGTGAACTTGTTAATTATCATTATATTTTTTGTAAAAGGCCTCATTTTTGAGCTATCAAGTATGCATATATTCTTATCTACATATATATTGTCAGAATTTAGCCTTGCTTACATGACGCAGGTTTGGAGGTTGTGGGAACTTGTACAATTATGAAGATTAATTTCCTTCTCTAGAAAACTACAAACTCACTTCAAAATATGTTTAAAATTTGTTTTTCCGTTAACGAGCTGTCGCACCCCTACGAACGGCAACCCTCAGAAGTC